ATTCATATATATATGAAAATTTAATGTATGAAAAAGGTTGTTGTTGTTATGTGTCTTTGAGCCACCTCTGACCCATAGTGACCCTATGTACAGCAACTCTGAAATCTGCCTTGTCCTGAGTCAGTCTCACTGATTCCTACACATTGCCCAAGTTACTGTATCAATTCATCTCATCCAGGGTCTTTCTCTCCTATGCCATGCCTTCACCCTTCCGAGCGTGATATCCTTCTCCAATGATCAGTCTCTCCTAGCCATATGCACAAAGTATGTGAGACAGAGCTTCAAAAATACTACCCTCTAAGGAGAAACTTGGTTTTATCCTCTCCAAGACAGACCTATTTGTTTTCTTGGTGGTCCATGGTATGTTCAAGACTCTTCTCTAGCACCACAACTCAAGGCCATCAATTCTTCTTCTGTCATCCAGCTTTTTTATGCACTGCAAGTAATTGCCAAGACCATGGCCTGGATTAGATGTACCTTAGTCTCTAGACTGACATCATTGCCCTGCAGTAATCTGGAGAGGTTCCTGACAGCAGATTTACCCAATGCAATTCACCTTTTGATTTCTTGACAGCTGTTGCCAAGAGTGTTGATTGTGGGACCAAGTATGTCGTAATTGTTAACAACTTCAATCTCTTTTCGATCATGGTGCTGCCAGTTGGCCCTGTGGTGAGAATGTCTTCTTGATGTTGAGTTTCAATCCATATTGAAGACTACAGTCCTTGACTTTCTTCAGCAAGCACTTCAGGTCCTTCTCAGTCTTAGCATCAAGATTGTGTCATCTGCATGACATAGGTTGTTGATGAGTCTTTCTCCAAGCCTGATGCCACATTCCTCTTCATAAAACCCTGATTCCAAAATCATCTGTTCTACATATATTTTATATGTGTAATATTAACATTGTTGTTGTTGTTGTTAGGTGTCGTCGAGTCGTAGAGGACTCATAGCAACCCTATGAACAGAAGGCCTGAGAACTGTACATAGAGTTTGCGGAGGCAAGCCATTTCAGAAGTGGATGCCACTCCTGCTTCCGAGCTAATATTAACATAGACATAAGAAAAAGGAGAATCCTTTTTCAAGAATAATCCAAAATTGGAAGAATGATTTAATTTTCAAGAACACATAAATTTTCTATGAAATTATGTAATCTATATATTTCTTTTTTTGGATGGTAAACTATCTACTATAAAATCCCCCTCCTCTTTCTCTCAATGACATCAGATCTATTCTGACTCATAGTCCATCAGTTTTCAAGGCTATAAATCTTAACTGGAAGAGATTCTTCATCCTTCTCCCAAGGAGCCACTGGATCTGAACTACAAAAACAGGAGGTCATTTGATTTGTTACACACTGACTACACCACCAGAGCTCTTTTATAAGACCTTAGGAATTAGAAATCATAAAGAAAGACATTTTTAAAAGGCAATATTCAGGTTTTGGTGTAGTGATTACCACAATATCCAAAATATCAGTAAATCTGCATATATGGGTAAAACTAATTAACAGAAATTTACCATTATTCCAGACTCATAGATCTCTTAAAATCATTATAAGATATCCAATACTAGAAATTGTAAAGAAAAAATTGCTAGAAAAGTGGTAGGAAAATATTTATAAACATTGCTTTGAGTGGGAATTGGTTGGATAGTACCTAACAGCAACAGCAAATCACATATAAAAATTTTAAAATATAAAGTTAAACAATAAGCTGGAGATAAAGCATGCACATTAAAACAACAAAATATATCTAATATTTTGTCTTTAATGTAAAGTTTCAAAGCATATTGCATGTACACTTAAGGAATACAGTAAACGAAAGGAGAAAAGTAAGCTATTGGATTTTCCTTTATGATGCATCATTTTTAACTCTTTATGCTGATGATGAGTTCTGCATGTTTGTGTTTATCCGTAATGGTAAATAGAGCTGGTGGATTTGAAACGCATATCTTTGCATTGACAGCACAATTCCTTACTGCTAATCTGTGAAATAGGGATCTCTGTTGGCCTTGGGATAAGGAACTGTGGTTCAAATCAACCAGCTGCTCGGCAGGAGCAAGATGGGCAATGTCCTCCCCCATGCAATCTACTGTCTCTGAAAACCCAGAGGGTGAACTCTGGGTCAGTGTCAGCTCAACAGTACTTACCAACAATCTGTGAAATCACATTTTTTCATTATTCATATCTTACAGAGCTTATTTCAAGATTAAGTAAAATATAAAATACTTTTACATACATGTAAATATATGTATACACACATACACACACATATGAAATATAAAGAAGACAATGAACAAGGTTGGCTAACAATATTATATTATGATGAGACTGTGACCTACAAGTAGCTGCATGACTTAGAAAATAGTTATTATAGACGAATCATAGTCATATATGAATTCTATGTCTGAATGAATGTTCTTACCCTTTGTTTAAACTCTGGTAGTGGAACTGTGTTTCTAGCAAAATTGTAAGTCAGGTCAATTGTGATTGAGAGGTTTTCTCAGAATATAGAATTAATAGCATAAAGGCACATTGATTTAAATTAATCTTTTAAAATGGAAACTTTTAGACATATTCAGAAGTAGAAATAATGATACAGTAAAATTTTCAATGTCTATAATTGTAGTTCACATTTCATCAGTTTGATATACTGCTAAACACTGTGACACTGAAGTGTCAAATGTGATAATTGTTACCCATGGTGGACAGTGTTTGGTGGAGGTCCCCAATTAAAACAAGCTTGGAAGCAGGAGTAGCATCCATTTCTAAAATAGCTTGCCTTTGGAAACTCTATGAACTTGGAGAAATGATGGAAGTTACACAAGTGTTCAGGTCTTTTGTTCATATGGTCGCTATGAGTTGTCTACAACTCAACGGCACTTAACAACAATATCAGTGTAGTTCACATTTCATCAGTTTGATTGGTTTACTAGAATTTGCTTGCAACAACAAAATGTACTATTTTTTAAATTTTATTTTATACTGGTTTACTTACAAAGTTCATAAAGTTTGTTAACATTGTTTTTTACACCAGATCTTTTCCCTTTCCTTTACCCATTCCCTTTCCCCCTTTCCTTTACCCTGCACCCATCAAATTGACCCTATACACTTAAAAATATTTCTTTAATTTATTTATTATAAAAAGCCTAAAAAAAGAAATTCATGTTATCAGCTAAGTCTGAAATCAGAACATAGCCTTCCTCCACACTTAAAAATGGAAAATAAAATTCATCATAAATAAGCCTCATCCTTGGGAAATATATGCTTGTGCCAGAGTAGTATAGACTGTCTAC